GCCTCAAGGTTGTGTCAATGTGAGGTGCTATATAAATCCAGAATTATTATTATTATATTTTTATTTTTGTTGACAGTTGATTAAATTATTTAAACGTAATTTGCATTTTCTAAAGTGCTTAAACCAGTTACAGCTAGGTCAAAACTACCGTTTTATGCAACAATTTTTGCTTTCAGTCATTGAATCGCTATGAAGTGAAAATGCACTTTCCTATGCAATGTCGGCTCATACGGCGCGCAATGGTTATGAGTGTCACGATGTACCTCGCTATTACCATTACAGCCATAGTTCAAGTCTCACTAATAACATCGCAATGAACTTGGTATTCGTTTTTTCTTTTCAACTTCATTAAAATTATATTAGTTTTCGGTTTTTTTTTTTTACTTCATACCTTTAACGACTTTTATTTTTGTTGCAATTTCAACTTCATTTCTCATTAAAGCAATGAGGAAAAGCCCTATGTTCTGTTGGTCAAACAAACATAGCAAGTCTAGTTATTATTATTGTCATATTTTTGAATTTTATAAGTTGTTTATTGTCTTATTGATTATTTGGAAATATATTATTATTATTATTACTATTATTAAAGAGTTTTTCCGACTGGCACTTTGGTCACTTTCCATGCTTGAATTTTCGTTAAGCACTGTCCAAGCAAAGGCCATATCAACGATGTGCATATAAAATAATCATTCTACATATTTTGATTATTAATACCAGTCATAGTTCGAGTTTCCTGACGTTGAGTTGCTTTTCATGTGTTTTAACTTAATAATTTGTTATTTTACGCGACATTTTAAATAAAGTTATATAAATAAATTATATACAGTCATCGAGAGGTTTAATATTACTAAATTGCTGGGATAACCCCCAATTTTAATTATATTTTGCCATGGCAGCCTCATACAGACACAATCATATGTAACATGTAATTTTAGAATCGTCTTTCTTAAACAACTTAAGAGGGCTAGGCTATGTCATGAAGCCATGTTGAGATATTAGCTGCAAAGGGTTAGGCTATACTTGAATATGCAAACCCAGGGCACAAGTATTAATAAGAGTTAGAGCTACGAGAACAATTCTAGAAGCACTCTCTTAGAATTATTTATAACCATTCATCGTACAATGAAGCTCTAAAGCTGTCTAATCTCACTACACTAGAAGAGAGAAAAGTTAACATGTGCATGAGATATTTTATCAAAGTGATACTCCCAAATCCCCCAAATTACCTACGTTCCAATACTGTTTCCAAACCTTATAACCTTCATCATTGGTCAAAAAACGATCCAAGAACTTCATTCTAAATGTTGGTGTGTTTCTGAACGGTAAAATATCTGTTCTGCTGTTCTTGGTTCACTCGTTACTTTCTTTATTTGTCCTCAAATGCTATACACACTGTGTGAGCCGCGGGAGACGCAGTGCAGCGCCACTCGACTTATCAACTACAACATACAACGGATACTGGATGGTTCTTAACTCGCATAACTCAGATGAAAGGGTTATTCGAGGAGATAAGCCGGGTATCGAACCCGGGCCCTGGCGTGCAAGAAGCAGGAACCATACCAATTATCCAAACGCTCGTTTTTTTTTTTTTATGTTTTTCTTTCCTTTTTAAAAAAATGTATCTGTAATGTCCCCCTTTTTTGCGCCACACCTTTAGGCTGTAACAATCAAGAGGAAATAGTTATTAAGAAACTGTATGTAGCGGTAGCTTTTACTACGAAGAAATGGGAATTTCGAACTAAGCAATGCGCATGTGCAATTACCAAATAACATCCGTGAATTATCTATAAAAACACAGTCGAGCCATGTCGAGCATGCACAGTTACCAAAAAGGAAGGAACCAAATAGCAGCTGTGAAGACATCTCAGGAACCAAACAGTGGCTGCGAAGAGGGTGTGATTACCAAAAAATCGTCTTAGGAACCAAGCGGCGGCTGCGAAAAGGGTATGAAATAGGAACGAGAAAACTATATATGTTCTGGATGGAAAATAATGAGAACTCAAGTGGGTCAAAAGCCTCTATTTTGGCTATCTTTACAGCCAGTTCATCAGTGTTCGTCAGGGGGAATTGTAGTTAAATTATCGCAAAAAAAGTATATTAGGCTCTATCGTCGTACCTATACAAGTAGACCTATGCATTGCGAGACAATCCCATAAAAATTAACCACAGAAACTGACGACACAACCTAGGGCCTACTACTAGCCAGGTAGCAGAGCCAGGGTATTCCACATTTAATGTCGAAAAATACGGTGTCTTACGCTGAAGAGGGTTAGGGTTAGGCTAACTATTATTGAGATATCGTAAGGTACCCATGTTTTATCGACCCATAAAAAATAGCCTCACACTGGCGGCAATTGTAGAAAGGCCTAGACAAGCTAGTGGGGGAGGGGAATAAAAACAAATAAATAAAATAATATTAAAATTAATATTAAAATTAATATTAATAACAATAATGGTAAAAATGCGGTTTGGCTCAGTGGTTTTCATTCTGGTTGTTGAACTTGTAGTCAGCAGGAGTACAAACAAATACAAACAGTAACAGACCCCATGGATGGCAAAACGAACTAGGGAAAACACGTAAAAGATTAAGAGATGAGATCGATATTTATTGGGGAAGAGTGAAATGGAGCAACACAGCCAGAGAAAAAGATCAATATCCTGAAATATTAGGTAAGTTTTCGCCGCACAACGTTAACCTTAACATTAGTACCCAACATGCAACACGATAGCTCCGCCCCTTACGTACTTCGAGAATGAAAAATCTTAAAATTTACATACTCCGCAGCGCAAGAAGAATAAATTATGACATCATCCATGAACGTTAAAGTTAAGGTCGTGCTGCGAAAAATACCTATTTGTCCAGCAGTGGACCGAAAATAGCAGATGATAAAGCCTCCGAAGTTTATCAACATTGAAGAATCTTAGATGACCCACCCTCTGATAATTCCATATTTGTTTGGATCATTTGATTATTTTATCATCAATTTTATTTTAAAAACAATCTTTAATTCATATACAGTATTATGCATTGCAGTAAAAAATTAGGCCTATCCTTAACAATAAATAAGCATAGATAGGGCTATCAAAAAACAAATTATACCATACCTTGAATAATGTAAACTCTACAATATTTATTAAGGTATAGGAAAATATAGTTACAGATTTATTTATTGAAACAGCTACCTAACTTAAAATACGATAACAAAATTTACACATAGGATAAATTTGGAAGTAACTGTATACACAAATTGAATAAGCTACAGAAGTTCAGCATTTTTTTATAGGAAATATTTCTTGTTAATATTTGTAATTAATTAATCTGAATTTGAATGTTTTTATATTGTTTTTAACTATTTTATATATTATCATGTCCATGTCCATTGGGTCCATGTTGGGGTGCATTATGATTGGGAATTATGTCTTCATTCACCTACCACATAACTGCTGCTCATCACTTCCATCACCACAATTGTCATATCCATTACATATGTACTCAGGCGGAACACATCTCCCATTGAAGCATTGAAATTGTTTATTCTTGTGATTAAGATCTTTCAGCTTGTATGATCATTAAAATCACAATTGGGTCATTCCGTGTCAAATCAACCAGATTTCAAAAAAGTTCCAGTATGACCCGCTCAGATTTTGATGAAACTCCATAAAAATGATCCACTATGTGAAAAACCAACAATTGAAAAAATTAGTGTTATAGGTTTTGTAGTTTCCGAGATATTGACTCCTCAAAAAATGGGCGTGGCCCTTCAAGATGCGCAAACACAATTTCCTCTAACTTTGGAAGCTTATAACTCTGGATTGGTAATAGCTATGAAGGTCTAACTTATATTCCACCATATTACACAAATATGGCATCAGATTAACTGTTATCCCTTCTTTTTTGAAGTTATCTGCACTCAAGATAGCCACTTTGTTTAACAACGCAATTTTTTTGTGATTTTCAATGTCACCCTGTGTCCATATGAGTGAGTGTATACATCTTAAATTACAGATATTATCTATGGGTAGTTGTCTCACAAGCAAGCACAGGCTGATCAAATGAATTAAAATGGAATGGCATCCATTCAAAGTTGGAGCCAGCCCGAAAAAAGTGAAAAAGCCTATGTTTCCCATTAACGGTTCGTCATGTGGACAGTTAAAATCTTTTCTTAAATTTACACCAGTTAACCAGATATATTATATCTACTTATACACCAAATTTCAGCTCCTTCATGGTTAGATACTATGTTGAAAACGACATATTTTAACATAATCGGAAATAACTAAATTTTTTAAGAGTTGGGTAATTCCATGCCATGGGATCATAGATTTTTAAATTTTTTATACTGACAGTTATTCATGTGAATTTAAAAAACCTGAAATTTTAGACTCCAATTCCTGTTTGTTTTCCCGTAGCGGTAGTTTGATGTAAAAGGGGGCGTGGCACAAATTAGTGCACTGTGAAATTAACTTTGATTTTCGTATGCTAATATCTTTGGAAGTACAGCGCCTATAACCTTCAGATTTTGTGGTGTAGGACATCTTTTACTGCTGATTAGAAATCTGCAATCAGAAAAGTTGTAGCATGTACCATTGCGGAATAGCAGTGGTTTAAAAATAGGACAAAACCCTGTCTGGACCAACTTTTTGCATTTTTGGAGCCTATCTAGGCCTAGGGTGTACGATGAAATATAATAAAAACACAAAATTATATAGGCCTCAACGTCGGCGTCAACAGAAGCCTAGGCCTAGGCTAGCTAGGCCCTATAATAGGCCAACTGTAATAGGCCTAGCTAGGGAGGGGCCTATGGCACTTCTCTTCCAGGTTATGCAAAAACGAGCCCAAGATTAATAAGACACAAAACTGTACAAGATTCAACTTTAAAAATTCACGCTAAATGATGTTTACACCATATAATGATGGTAAAACTACAGCTTGGCCTAGCTACACTAGCCTGGTATGCCCAGTCGCGAGTTTTTTTTCTGTACGAAACATTTGCATGACACTCCACTCGGTCCGTCTTGGATGGACTACTCGAGTTCGTTAAGAGCAGGCACTTCACAATGTCATTACCAGGTCGTTACGCTCGAGTTTTCTCTATTACTGTATTGTTCTTTGTTTAGCCACGGTAGGCTTATTAAATCTTGCCGATTTATGTGATGTTACACCTGTAACAAACTGTGAGCTTCTTGTATGTTTGTTTTCAAATGTAATACTACCTACAACAACAGCAGCTAGTACAACCACCAGTAGTATAGGTACTATCAATTAAGGCTAGAGCAAAAGAGGCTAACCTAGGCCTAATTACAGGCTGAGTTACAGTAGGTCGTACCTATAGGCCCCTTCTTAGACCTAGAGCTAGGGTCAAGGGCCTGACACAACAGTCATGCTTTACATTGACTGAAATTTTCAAAAAAAATTGAAACAAATTTGAAACATGAAATTAAAATGGGACAGTGCGCAAGAAAAATATTATTAAACAATAAAATTAAATATATCATTCTGGCATTTACGAACTTGGCCTAAACCTTGTAATGTAATTAGACGGCGGCGGCGGCGGCGACGACGACGACGACGACGACGACAACAACAACAACAATAATATGAATAATGATTAATAATAAATAATAATAAAAATAATAAAAACAATAATTAAATAAAAATACATATATACACAATATAATTATATTATTAATGATTAATAATAATAAATAATAAAAATAAATAATAAAAATAATAATTAAATAAAAATATATAATTTCGCCATTAATTAACTTGGCTTAATCAAGAAGCACTTACAGTACAATACTATTTGCTAGGCATATAATTAACGGTGTACAACTAGGCCTCATTCATTCATTGGCACTCTGCTATTTTGGCAGGTCCTATGATGTCATCCTTATTTTAGAGCTGTCTATTCTCAGCTTTTCTTTTAATGTCAAAATAACTGTCACCCTGTTTCATTTGATCAATTAAATGCTGTTAATTAAATGCTCTTTTCCTTCCTCTTTGTGCTTTCCTCTGAAAACCGCCTTCTAAAACTTTTTAAGTGATCAAAACATGACCAATCTAAACTCCCTGCCTATGCATCATTTTCAGTAGTTCTAGGCCTGGTACTTATAATTATCTTGTAATTTAGTAACAAATAATAATTAATAATACTCCCTGCTTAGGCGAGACTTTTTTTATACCTTGTTAGGGAACCCGCCGACTGCAAATATTGATGACTTCGAATAAAAATACAATTATTTTTGGCCAATTAATGCACCCGCTGCCACGAAAAAGTGGAAATTCCAGAAAAAAAAATTTTTTATTTTAAATACTGTATTATTACGCCCTCCACTGCCTTGAAATCTCCAAAGATAATATAGGCCTATGTATATTTCTTCCTAATTATATAAATTTAAAGCATTTAACCATCCTATTTTACATTACCAGTTAAATTTAATTTTTATTTCCTCCTCCATCTGAATGGTTTTGGCAAAATTATTTGCTAAATAAGAAAACAAAATTTTATTTTTATTCCACCTTCCTCCGAAGATCTTTAAAAAATAAGTATGTAAAACAAGGAATAAAAAAAGTCTCACCTTACTAATATGCAAGAATTGCCAGCCTCACTAAGCTGTTTATTTCATTTTCAAAGACAAAATATTTACTGAGAGATAAGCCATCATATCTCCTTAGATAAGCTATTTCCACTCACACCATCCTACTAGAATGGGCTGTTATTATCAAACAAAGAGCTTTGAATATTGTATGCCATCAGCTAGTATAGACTGGGTTCCAGTCCCTAAACTTTGTCTTAATCAGTTAAAATGCTTAAGAATAAATCAATTTTAGCACCATTGGCATTCCATATTACTTATTTGCATGGCGTTCCATAGTATATTTTTTCAGGGATTTGGAATTCCCATCAAAAAGATTCTCGACATAAACTGACGCTGGTGGCGCTTTCTGAAATGTGCTAATACTATGAAAAATCAATAAATTGTAGACTTGTGGCAAGTCTAGCCATCAGCATGTATGGAATAGACCTTGCTGTACAGGGTTAGTCGAAAGTATCAACATCATCGTTTTAAGTTTGTTGTTTCCCCACACACAATGGTTATTTTTAGAGATTTTGAAATACCTGTATTCAGAATAATACACAGTAAGGCCTATATGGAAATCTTGGCATTTTTCATACCAATACTGTGATCATCAACGCCACACTGAAGCCATAAAAACGCGCGCAGACGCAGATTAGAGAATGACTAATAATACAACAGTCATTATTCCTTCCTCCAAAGACAAAGCGAGCGAGACAGACAGACCGTGACAGGCGAGCCAAGTCGTGTTTGTTCGCACTCAGACTTGAGCTTGTCTCTTTTTCGTACAATCTGAGACAACTAAACGTATACTCTATATCGTCTCAGGTACAATCAGTGTCACGAAGCAATGAGACGGGCTATTTAATCACACTACTTGTTCTATATTGACTGAATTTGAGGAGTCATGTGACGTAGAACAGCCAATCAGGCTGCTTAATTTTCCTTCATATACAATTCTCATATAGGAAAAAAAATATTGCGAACTGCCGCCCGGTCGCCCATTTTTTTTAACTGTGTACATTAATATGCTATGCTATGTTTGCAGCAGATCATAGAGCTGTTACTCTATCTCTATGAGCAGATAGTAATCATTTTTAGGAGAGGGCATCCTAGTTGTTGCCATAGATCTGAGATAAGGTGTTTGTGTTACGCCAAAGTTCGTTACCAAGTACGTTATTGTTGCTTAATTGTAAATCGACGCTTCTAATTGTTACGCGTAAAGGTAAATTCGCACGGTGTACACCATGGTCAAAGCAGTCAAAGTTCAAAAGTTTTCATTTTTGCAAGAAGGCGCCGTTTTTACAGAATTTGCACACAGATATCGCGGAGAACGCTGCGTTTATTATGCTGCATTCATTAGAACTTGTGAAAACTGATTTCACAAATTTTAACGTGCGAGAACACAAGAAGAGTGCATACATTTGACGAACGCTAAAATGGCAATATTTTTTCCTATTTGGGATTTTGACAAGTGCCCTCACACGGATGTGCTCCTTGGCCTAGGCCTAGTCTATGTAAAAAAAAAAAAGCTTGAATTAGGACACCATAAATTGCATTCAGAACGTTATATTGAGCATCATGAGGTTGCAAATAAAACATACAAGAAACACTTTTTTTTAAAAATCCAAAATGATATTAATTAAACAAATTGCAATAAATACATCTGCTCGTTTGTGTTACATCAGCCTATCCACACTAAATGTGCAAATCGAGAAAGAAAATTCTACTCAAGTTAACAACTTGTGTTTGCAAGTTCACCGACCAGATGAATGCATTTCACAAGTTTTGAACTGGGATACACCGACTTTACAAGTTTTAATGAACGCAGCATAGGTAGTTGCTAAATACAACGGGTTCAGCCGAGGGGGCGTGGCTTGTATAATAGTAACGTCATGTATAATTATGCCTATGCTGTCTACCAAAAAACTGACGGGTGAGGGACTGAGGGACGATCGAGTCCAATTTCAGACGATTGGCCAAAGTGTAGTACTAGTAATACTCTGAACTAGCATTGTTTTAGTTACCATATGAGAGTTTCCTGTGTTAAAAACATGATTTACTATGCTATACCTCTTTATAAAACACAACTTGTACTTTATAATAACAGAAATCTGTATATTATCGCTACTTGGAACAATAACAACACGAAAGTCCTATGCTACTGCACTGTAATGCATAGGCCTATTTTAATACACTACTAAGATAGGCTTTTCTTTTTCCATCTTGATTTCAGAGGTCAAAAACATTTTTCAATCATATAGTGGTGGTATAGACTAGTCTTTTAAGAATATTTTGCTGGAAAGTTTTTTTGGATACGGCACTCCATTATGGAGTTATAATTTTTTAAATAACATGATGTCAGAAAATCAGCCCAAACGCTTATCTTATTTCTGTTGGTTACGCACCGCTGATTCGCAATGTTTGTCATCACTTCAATATGTCTACCGATTCGTGAAAAAGGCCTATTGTGCGTCCAGCAACCCGCAGCAGCCCGTCTAGGCCTAGGCCTGTGCCTCATTTACGTGAAGTTAGGCCTATGCAGAATCTGTGTAAGACCCTCGCCTAGCCTACTGAAGAATCTGCACTGAGTGGCGCATAATACAGAACATTTATATAATACAAATATACACGACATTGGAAAGTTAATATATTTACTTACTTCCTATATATTTACTTATATTTTCTTCCTCTTATGGACAAACCATCAAGGTTCAAAAGTTTTCACTTTTGCAAGAGGGCGCCGTACACTTCGTTATTACCAGAGCCGTAGATAGAGAGAGTTTGGCCAACTCGGTTTCAATCACGTGACTTACACCAGCCATGTTGTCACCAAAACAAAACAACGCGATAGGGTAGGAAGTTAGCAGTTATTATAGATGATTAATGCTATATAATGTGAAATACCGTTATGTTGGGTTTGGGGTTGCTGCAATCGATCCAACAAAGAAAAGATGTGTATAAGAGACAGTATTAAAGCTATACCAAACAATTTATTTAATTTAGGTTACCGATTTGTATCTTTTGATGTTGAATCTCTGTTTACAAATGTTCCCCTTACTAAGGTAATTAATATAATT